AAACGCAGAGAACAGAAAAAGGGAAGTTATTGTAAACAGGTAGAGCCGCCGGTGCCTCAGCTGTGCATGTGACAGAGCTGGCTAAAGCCCTTTCATTTCCTACTGCTGATTCCATTACATTCTCCTGTGTCTGAGCACAAACACCGTTAGCTGGACAAATATTGCTGCCTCTGCACACTGACGGGGCCCCGCTCCTTCATAAAGGACCCGCAAATAAGAGAGGGGTCACAGAACCTCTCTGGCAATCAAATAAAATAATCCGCACATTGCTTCAGATTCTCTTCGGCTGCTTATTTAACAATAAAAGAGGGGGGGTCACATCACCTTTTAAACCAATCACGTATAGTCCTGGAAAGATGTAACAAGCTGTTATGGGGCAAATGTTGAAAATACTATAGTGGAGAAAGAAACACACTGCGCTCTCCAGGAGCCAAGAAATTAAGTGAGTTACAGAGACAATAACTCTAACTGAATTGGGTGAGTTTAAAGTGAGTTATTCGACAGCTGGACAGCAGTAGGTGGGGAAACAGTTGATCACTTATGAAGCTGCGAGAAGCGGGATTGGGTTTTAATAAAGACGGCAGCGAATGCGGCAAAAATATAATTTCTCCACTGACCTTGAAAAAAGCCATCCGAATTCATAGAGAGCTCCCAACTACAGAGCTTAACAATATTACTGCGCTAAAACGATAACGGACCCGCGCAATAAATACGGCCGTCCAACCGTGCGAGGTAGGAGTGAATTTTTGAGAGCTTATTTCCAGTTGACAAAATCAGCCAGTGAAGCAGAAAAGAATGAGTAAATATGAGCGTTTTAGAAGGATTTTCATTTTTAATATTCCTTTCATCTCTTCCTTATTTATAATCAACCGATTGCTTTCACTCGGGGGGGGGGGGGGCAAAGTCATTTATTGTTTTTCTATTCTGTATTGCTAGGTGTGTTGAGTCTGGACGTGGCTCATTAGGGCCTGAGCAGACACAACCGGGGTGAAAAGGTTCATGTGCAGAGTCATGGTGGAGAAAACCAAGTGGCTTCCAGTGTGGGACGTGTTTGTTAGTGTGGGCACTTTCCAGGAAGGTCAGATGAGGGGCCTTGAGGGACACTTTCCCACAAACCAGAGGATGCTCAACATGCAGAGGACAATCAAGAAGTTGGCGTCTGTTTTTTTAAGGAGCTCTTAAAGCATTCAGTCGCCGCCCCCTCAAACGACAAGCCTGAGATGCTCCTTATAATGACTGACTGCACACACACACACGAGGGATGTGTGCTAGGGGGATTCACGAGTCCAAACTTTTGGATCGTGTGATCAGAGCTGAAATCAAATTCGCTCAGATCCACCTGGGTAATAGACATAGTGACTATCCAGTGAGACTCCACCCAGGTCAGTAAGTCTGAAGATAATTTAGACCCGTGTCAAGTCTTGGTTACGAGCAGCCAAATGGACCTGTGAAGACCTTTACTACTTGCACACACACACACATGCGCACACACATCTTCTGTCCTTCTCGGTGGGTCATTTCTATTGTCCAGATGTGACAGGAGCTTCATGAGGCCAGCATGGTCCCTTGGTTGGAGCCCTGTGCTCTCTGACTCACTGGCCATCGGCTGCACATTAATCAGCCAATTATCAGCCCTGGCCAGCAACGCTGCCGCTCCAACCCGGTCCCCTAATCCAATCACCTTGGGGGAGTGGGTCAGGGGGTACTCTGATTGGATAACCTGAGGCTGGGTCGCCGCGCCCATGACCTGCTGCTTTGAATTGGTAATGATGTTAATATTCTCCATATGTCCATGTGTGTGTCTGTGTGTGCACATTTGTGTGTGTCCCCAAGCATAGAGCCTATCTGGAAGCTGAGCTGCACCCCAGCATTAATGGCCAATGGAGATGGAAGTAAGAGCCAAAATAGCACTATCACCCTCCCTGGGGCAAACCTCTTGACGCTGCCACTTCTAGCCTTCTCTCCAAATCCTCTTTCCCAGACTTCAGCCTGTCTTGTTGGCTGCTGTGCAGCAGCCCTTGGCGCTAAGTCCCAGGCTGAGGTCCACTTTCTTTCCATCAGCCCCGCTACTTTGGCATCCACTCCTTCTGGTCCAAAGAAACTCTTGAGTTGAGAGGTGGGAATAATAAAGGAGCCACAATTTGGGCAGCAGGATTGTGATGAGAAATGTTTTCCAATACAATGAAAAAAGTAAGTAGGTAAGAGGGCAAACTCTGACTTTCTGGTCTGTTTTTTTCACTGTCTCTGACTCTGAGAGAAAAAGAAATATACGGTATTTGGTAAAGCTACAAAAAGTCCAAGTGAACTGAACTTACAGGAGAAAAAAGGAGTTTGAAAAATACAAATTTAATAGACCATGCTTGTGTGCTTTCATTAGGGAAGTTATAATGTGCGTGGACATATTGACTTTTAACAACACATTTAAATATTTGTCTGAACATCTTGATTCTGCCTCGATTTTATCCCCATCCTTCTAACTCCTACCTCTGCTCAACTCTCTCTCCATATGCTCCCATCTGTGAGACGCTTTGCTGCATCTCCTGTACTATCCATGTGCGCACACACACACACACACACAAACACAAACACATGCACACACGCACACACTCACCACTTCACTCCCTCCCCTCCAGCTGCAGCCCCAGCCGGCTCCACACAAAGGCAGGCCAAATGTATGCTAATGAGAGCCAGGCCAATGGTGGAGCCGCACTCATTTTGAGAGGAAATGGCTTTCAATAATGGCGGCCCCCGGGGGGATTTTGCACAAAGTTCAGCTCCACTTTGAAAAATGCATTCAATTCACTGCTGTGTCTGCTGCTCTCTCTTTTTCTCCCATTTTTCCCCGCTCAATGAAAAAAAAAAAAAAAAAAAAAAAAAAACATTCCCGGAATATATCTGCGTCCCCTCCTCCTCTCGCCTCTGTAGTTATGCTGGGGGGTGTCAGAGGGAGTTTTTGGGGACCGAGGAGTCGTGATTTATCTTTACAGAAACATCAGAAACAGGAACGCAAACATGCAAGCTTCAATAGTGTTCACACTCTATCTGGCACGTTTCCTTTGCCTTTTGTTGCTCATAGTTTTGCTCTTCTGCTCAGGGTAATGTCTCCAGAAACATGTTAACTGTACCATATGCATTTCAAACGGATAATATCCTATGGGTCTCGGGCCTAAAAATACTTCAAAGAGGAGATGAACAACAGTTAAATAACGATGAGAATATATCTTGAGGTAATAAACATTATTTGAACCTGATTTGTCATCTTCACACCCAAACATGTTAGACAGAGACTATGACGGCTGCTACATAGACGCATCATGTGAATCTAACACAACTGAGCATCAATATATATGTTATAGTTCGGTATTACAGCCAAAACCTGCTGACATCCTGTGCAGTTTGCAGGCGAATTTTCTTATTTAAAAATAGTTTCTTATCTATCACCCGCCAGAAACAGGAAGATGCTTGTCTTGTCCTCTTCAAGCCTTTTTATATGCCGGAATACACAGTTTAAGCATCGGAAAAGTACTGAGAATGCAGTATTTCATTATCTGTTAATCTGTTTATCATTTTTTCTGTTTAATCCTTTTGTCTATAAAATATAAGACAGACATAAAACAGAGGAAAAAATTGCCAATCAGAATTTCCCAAAGCTCAAGGTGACGTCTTCTAATCATGCAATTTATCTGGCATGTTTAATTTACAAAGCTATAAAACTAAGAAATACACAAAACCCTCATATTTTACAAACTGAAATTAAAGATCCAGTGGCAATTTTGCTTCATAAATGACTTAAATGGTTAAATTTCATCTTTTGTCAGACCAACTGTGTAAAATCCAAAGAGATGGAATGTTATTAAGCAGCAAATCCTCACACTAGAGAGGCTAAATTAAAGAACTTTTTCTTGAGAAATTATTAAAATGATTGTTGACAAATCATTTCATCAGTAAAATGAGGAAACAATGGCTGGGAAGGATTTCAATTTTCCCGACTTGCTTCAGATTTTACTGATAAGTACGTGGGAATGGCTTCTTCTTTTCTGTGACTGTACAGTGAAGTACAGTTTGGACTGAGCTGTCCCTCAGCCTGTCCGTCTCCGTTTGGGTTTGCCTCCACGGTTACAGTTGGCTAATCTCTCTGCCCCTCTGCTGCTTGGTCATGTCCCTCCTTCTCTCTTCTTCTCTCTCGCAGATTCTCAGAACGTCTCGTCCCCCTGAGCCAGAGCTGATGTCTGCGCTCCCTGGTGCCTGTCATATCAGGAGGGGCAATAACCCGTGAAATGACTGTTCTCTTTTTCTCACTCGCCTCCCCTCCATCCCGGTGTCCCCTCTTTTCCACATTCTCCTACTCTCACTTTCCTCGCACCACGCCACTCCACGCTCCACTTAGCCGCTGGGGCGCGAACATCGCCAAAAAAAAAAGAAATGTGCATACACACGCTCACATTGCACAAGATGGTGAATATTCTGGTGTGGTTTGAAGCGTGTATGTGAGCTGTATGACTGCTGGCAAAGACTTATATAGAGAAGAGGTACAAGTGTGTGTACATATGCACCTAATTTGACAAGAGAACATTTAAACAAACAAAAGGGATGCGCAGTTCCATTAAACCCACACTAGAGGTTATACATCCTTCTTAAGAGCAAACCATCCTCTCTGTGTGTGTGTGTGTGTGTGTGTGTGTGTGTGTGTGTGTGTGTGTGTGTGTGTGTGTGTGTGTGTGTGTGTGTGTGTGTGTGTGAGAGATCCTCCTGCCTGTGCCCTACTCTCCGGAGGGCTGATCACTCCTGTTCCTGGGATGAGTAGACACTCCCAAGGCAAACACTCCAGATTTAATTATAAGCTCCAAAGAGGATTAGTCTGTTCCGTGTGTGTGTGTGTGTGTGTGTGCTTGCGAGAGTGGGGGGAGACACAAAGGGAAGGAGTGGCAAGAAGTTATCCCTTCATTCCCCACACTGAAGAATAAAACACACGCGCGCACATACACACTCAGCTCGCTCACCTGGGGTGTGTGTGGTATTGTCGGTCCGCCTCTTCGTAGCGGTGCACAGGTCGAGATTCACCTCCTCTTGGTGCCATCTGTGAGGAGACACAGCACAGTGAATATAAATATGCAGACTAAAAAAAAACAGTCAAAACACCCTTGAGCAAGGCACTGGACTCTCTGGAAGTGACGCAGCTGGAGGTCTGATGAAAAAGATAAATTGTTAAACAATCCGTTGGCAGATTTCTGGCCTATTCCAGCAGCTAAACCTTGTGGTGGTGGAGGTCACATGTCCCTCAGGGTATATGTTTAACCTCAGTAACATCTCTGTCTTTAAATACTACATTAAGAATTTAAAGCATGTACGTGTTCATGTGCAGCCTTGTGGTTTCTGTGGAAACAAAAAACAAGACAGGGAGAAGTCATGGAATGCCCCACATGTGGAAACATAAACATGTGCAACCACATTTAAGCGCCGTGCAACTCCGATACACATGTGTGTATGCAGTTCAAGCAAACACACCAGTCATATGAAAAAAATTACATCTAGAGTGGGTTTTGGGAAGAGGGTCGATCTGTCTCTCATCTGCACACACCAGGAAGTGATTGATTAAAGCCACGTCCACGCTGGGGGGCAGATAAATGTGGAAATACTGAAAAAGGTCTGGTCGTTTTCTGTCCACAGTTAAATGCCAAATGTTGAAGAAAACCAGCGAAATCTCATCTTCTTTGTCCTTTCTCTTTGTTGGCAAACACAACTGTGGATTACCAGCATTATGTACTAGAGGAGCTGAACAGTCACAGCCAGGTTCCTCAGCGCGGTCTCAGAAGGATACAACCTCCTTCTCTCCATGAGTACTCACAGACAGGTCATAAATTAAAGGAAAGCTAAGTGGAAAAACATAATGAAGACAAATGCTTCCATACAGGAAAGAGTGGTAACCTGATGATGATGTGAAGCATATGCTATGATCTTCACAGTCACCAGATCTTAACCTTAACCTGTGGAGGATCTCTTGGAAGAATGGTGTTCATCCCTTCAGTGGATTCCCGGTCTGTGTGTCAGAGCTCGGAGGCTGTTCTGGAGGCTCGTGTTGAGCCAATACCTCACTAAGACTACATTTGACACCCATCTGTGAGTCTGCTGTTCTTAATGGCACCAAGCTTCTGTTTCTGTCGTCAAACGACTACATGAATATAAAACACTGATTTATCGCTGCTCATTAATGATACTCATGAACCAATTCTAACAGCCACAACTGGAATCACTTTTTACGCTCACTAATCAATGACAACACCTGGATTGTGTGCTGTATGTGTAGAGAAATGCACCCCCCCCCTTTTTTTAATTTTTTTTTTTTTTTAAAAAGCTGCATTTTATGATGTTTTTCAAAACAGATCATTTCTTTGATGTGAAAATCACTGGCTCTTGATCTGTGGATTGGACCAAAATGCAGAGATAAGATGTGGTTTTAAATTTAGTTGCGTAAGAGTGGACATGGTCTGAGGTCCATACAACACAAGGGGGTTTAAACAAGCCACCCCTGCAGGCAGAAGAGGAGGGAGGCAGAGAGGGAGAGAGCATACAGTTTCAATTATCTGTAATCTACGTTCTGGGCTCTGAGTTTTCACATACAAACACAGGCTGTTTATTCAATGGACATTTCATCGGTCAAACACACAATACACCACTGTAGCGTAACATGCGCGCGCACACACACACATACACGCGTGTTGGTCAAATACACACCAGCAGCCACACGTACATGTGTACATAAACAAGCAATCACAGGTTCGACAGAAACACACACGGAAATCTAAAGAGGCGAACAGTCGTGCGTTTGATCCAGGCTATCAAAGTGATACACCGCCACAATCACCCACTTACACACATTTAATATCACAAACACGCACGCTACAAAGAGTCTAAATGAAGCCATGCAGGACCAGTCTATTGTTCTGCTTGCATGTACGTATGAGTTCAAACTCATTCTGCATGTCAATGTAGCAGCGGCACATTACCAGATATCATTAGCATGTCTCTGTAATGTAGGGAGCTCTAATGTCTCTGAATGGGAGCCAGGAAGTGAAAGCACATCAGAGCCATGGCTGGGTTAAGTCTGCTGCTCTATTCACTGAAGTGGTATTGTGCCTGTGTGTGTGTGTGTGTGTGTGCGTGTGCGCGTGTGTGTGTGTATGTTAATATTATGGTAGTCGGGGAGGGCAATGTGTGTCTTTGTGTGCAGGTTTAATATGATGTCGGGAAGTGAATGCTCCATCTTCAGATTGCTGTGTGTGTGTGTGTGTGTTTGTGTGTCTGTGTGTGTGTGTGTGTGTTACGAAGGGGACATTATGCAAAGAGCTGCATAATGTGAGGTAAAGGGGGCATTAGTCTCAGCAAGAAGCTGGGACTCAGGTGGAAGACCTTCTGTGTATGTGTGTGTATGTGTGTAAGCCATAATACATCTTCTAAGTAGGAGGAGAGAGGAAGAGAATGATGAGGACAGGAGGAAATGTGTGTTTGGATAAAATGAGTGAATTTTTTTGTGCGTTGATTGTATTAACATAATAGCCTGCAGCCATAGGTCTGGATGATCCCTTTATTAACTCACACACACACACACACGCACAAATATAGATTAGGGACGTCTGTCATATGGATGCTTTTCAGGCGGAAGCCCATTTCCCCAAATTAGACAGATAGCTTTAGTACCAGATGATATGCCTTGAAATACTGCCGTGGCATACACACACACGCACACAAGTAAACAAACACAAAACAAGTCTCAGTCTCACCATGGCAACTGGTAAAACAGCAATATGAAATTCATCCAGGTTGGAAGTAGAAAATGCAGCAGTTAGACTTCAGAGGAGGCGGTCAGCGGGCAGAGAGCCACGTCTTCACAGCTTCGGAGGTGGAGGGTGATGACACACACACATCGAACACCACGCGAGTTCACGTCCTCATCCTGAACCCGGTGACATCATATACAGTACTGTTTATATCTACAGTAAGAGTGTGTGTGTGGTTATCGGTGGAAAACTTAATGTTTTGTGCAGACAGAAGCTGACTTAAAGCCAGATTCTCTCTGGACACACATGACGGGGAATTTCCTATTTCTCATGAGTGTCAGGTGGTAAAACTCTGAAAGGAAGAGGCTTTGTTAAACTTGGAGCTCACTGCAGTTGTGTGCATGCGCATGCATTTTTGTGTAATTTAAACCCAAACCTTTCAATCAGCAAATCGGCAGGCTGCTTTTAATACCTTCTCATCAGGGAAAGCAAATGAGCATTAACATATCAGAACAATCTTCTTATAAAGTGTATCATTTTGTGGAGTCATTGCATTTGTGTGCCGCAATTCAAGCAGCTGACAAACCCTCTGACAGAATGGCTGGCGTGTGTGTGAGCGTGAATGAGCAGAACGTCATTTTTCCATTTTTCCAAATTAGAAAGCTATGCCTTGACAGTGCCAGATGATAAGCAATGGAACACAACACACACACACACACCCACACACGCACGCACACCAATCAACTCTAGCAGCACAGCTGTCGCATTCATCAGAAAGTATTGCCAGAGCTCAGGAAATGAATTTCTTGGAGCACTTTTGGATTTGCTGTAAATTTGCGATGCTCATATTTACAAAAAGCCTCAAATGAGAGTCCAAGTGCTTTGACACAATGCCTGAGCTGCGCTTTGGTCCCGTGACTGAGATGCTCAGATTCGCCTTTTCCAAACCGCTTTTCTTCGCCGTCTCTTTTCAAACGACATAATTAGCCTCCTCTATTGCCATCTATTCCTCCTCGCATCCATCCATCCTTTTCTTCCTCCCTCCATCCGTTGTGGATGCTAATTAAGCATGTGTCTCAGTGTGGAGCCTCTGCCTGGCACCCCATGCCCACCTCCTGTTGGCAACCTCACCCCCACGCCCTGGCACGATGAGGCGTAACGCACCCTTTATCCACCCCGTCTTCCTGCTAAAAAAAAAAAATCTTGCTGACTCCCCCATGGGAGGAGAGGGAACAGATAAGACGGAGAGGGAGAGCTGGCAGAGAAGTTGTTAAAGATGTGGTGCGTGTGTGTAGGTGGACGCAACACAAACCATAGCAGGAACGTGTGTGAGACTAACTACTGCTGCCACGAGTTGTTGACAGCTGGGAGTATGAACTTCTGCTGTCATGCTGCTGAAACACGGAGAAACCACACCCATGCACTACATGCACGCACATACGTACATACAAGTCGCCAGCAAGGTTATTTAGATCACTGCCCTGGTCCAATACATCCTTATTTTTAGAAGTTATAGTCCAAATATAATACAGTATATTGCACATATGGTGTCAACTGTCGGAAGAAAACGTCCACACTACACTAGCTAAATCTAAAAATGCACCTTTTTGTGGCTAAATCCCAAAAATTCGGTTATACTGCACTGTTTTCTTTCTTTGTGTTTGTTAGCAAAGCCACTGCCCTAAATTTATACCGCCCTGCTGAAAACAGCTTGTTGGCATGGTTACCAACGAATAACCAACTGAAACTCTAAAAGGTCAAAGGCACCTCTTTCATGCTAGTCAAGTCTAGCCTGTTGGCACACAAGATTATGCTGTATTAGGAGATCCTGTGTGTTTATATCTCAAACAGGAGGCTCACTTGCCCCCCAGTGTACACTAAACACTCCCACACCTGGACCCCGCTCGCTCTGAGCTCGTTAGCAGCAGATGGTACACGCACGTACGCACGCATGCACACCCACCCACACACACGGGGACCAAAGGTTACACACACTCAGACTGGAATGCGGTCTATTTTGGTAATAGGCCAATCTGCTGGTAATTGTCTTCATTGTTAGTATTTGTTTAGGCCTCAACTCTTGACCTTAGAGTAGCTTTTTACATTTACATACAGTTGGGTTCAGACTTCGACTGGCACGTGTGTGTGTGTGTGTGTGTGTGTGTGTGTGTGTGTTTGCGGTTTAATCTTTCCTTATGAGGATGTAACAGGTAGAGGGAAAACAATGTTTAGCTCATTAGCCGATGCTCACAATGATACTGCTGACCTCTATCATTTCCTATGGCTCCGTGCGTATCGCTCC